ATAACATACAGATTATAGGCTAGCCAAAGTCACGTAAAAAAACAAACCCTGCACTGCTACCTTGTAGTGTGGAGAACACCTGAATGTATGGTGTGTTGTGCTGCAGCTGTTATCACAGGTGCTCAACGTAATGCAGAACGATAATGCATGTGTAGACATACCCAAAGGCCAAGTCTACACAAGTAGCAGACTGCACAGTTGTTACTGCACAGTCATTTAGTACTTGCATAATGTGTGTCCCCACACACTTTTTTTTTCAGACACTACTGCACAGTAGCAAGGAGCAACTGTGCAGTAGCTTATTGCTACTGTGCAGTAGTGTCTTGTGTAGATGCACCCAGAGAGTCCTAAATAAAAGACATATTATGGGCCATGTCACAAGCTGGTGTAAAACAACATAGCTTCATGAAACTGATTGTATTTTGAGAAGGACTGCCCTTTCTACAGCCCACACTGAGTCTCCTTTTTGGGATCTGACCATATTTTTTTCCTTCATTGGTAAATGAAGCTCCCCCACTGGCTTTTAATCTTCCCCTGTGCTCATCATCTCTGGTGCTTTTTGTAGCTTGTAAAGGGGTAGGAGTTAAGTGGTAGTAAAGGTCTTAACATGAGGGCTAGATTCAGTATTCATGTCCTGGCACAAAACAAGAACAACAATAGGAAACACTGGGTGCGTCTACATATGCATTAATGCACTTTTTCCTAATGTGCATTAAATTTAATACCTCCAATATGAGGTACTAAATAAATGCACATTAGGCTGCGCTAATGCACAGTAGTGCAAATGCACACTTTTTAGGTTATGCTTAACATGCAGTAGCCTGTTGTGCTGTGTATTAGCATATTAGCACATTTTTTATGTGCCACTTTAATGTGCAGTAGAATGGGCTACTACGAATTACAGCACACATGTAGATGCACCCACTGAGCAGCCTTGTACTGCTCAGGAATCTTACACCAGGATAGAGAGCAAAAAAGGTGAAAACTGGGGCAGTTAGGGAAAATGTTAGATATAAAGAGTTGGGGTGATGAGAAGGGGGTTGAAAGTGTAATTAGGAACCATTGGAAACTGATTTTATTTCACTTGTCAAAGTCTCAGTATCAAGGCCAAATCCTGCTATCTTTCCTCAAGCAAAACTTCCAAAATAGGCAGAATCTGACTGTGAGTTCTTTGTCCTACTTGAACCAGATCCTTAGCTGGTGCAAAGCCAGGCAGTTCAACACCAGAGTTACATGGAGCTTTGCACTAGCTAAGAATGTGTCCACCTACCTTCGGATTCTTCTTTCCAATATCAGTTCCCATGCCCACTCAAGTGCCTTCCCCCTTCCATTCATTAGCTGATATGATTTTAAATGTTGAGAAATGATGAGCTTTTATGTACTTTGTACCTACCATGGAACAAAAAAGTTCCTTTTAGCTTTTTAACTAGTTTAGCACAACTCATTCTTGTATATACATTGCCTGATTATTCATAGTGTGTGTGTGACACAAACCTAGGCTGGTGGTTGTTTTAAGGACATTGTGTACTCGTACAACAGACACGAGACACATCCCCACAAGTGGGAACATACATTTCTCCCAGGACAAACAATAGCAGTACAATATGTGCTGCTGCTATTTGTCCCCAGAGAACCCCTGTGTGCACACAGTCTGATGCATGGCATATTGCCCTGGGTGGGGTAGGGGAGGCTGGGGCCAGCCTCCAGGGGCTGCAGCCATGGCAATTCTGCAGCAGGGAGCATGGCTGGCAGCTGGAGCATGGCTCTGGCTGGCCAGGCTCCAGTTTCAGGCGGACTGCCACCACATGTGCCACCCTGCTTTTCTGACAGATGGGTTTTTTTGACACGGGGATCTCTTTGTGTCAAACCACCCCCTCACCCCCCATCCACAAGACTGCAAATTAGCAGTGCAAGGAACGCCTGCACATGCAGTGTGTGGTGCTGTAGACAAGTCTGTGGTGCTGCATATCACACATGCGCACTCATCTGGATGTGCCCGTGGTACCTGACTCTTGATTTCACTTATTCCAATACCAGTGAAGAGCAACTCCTGTGAAGCCAGTACAGTAGCAACAGTGTAAAACCCATGTGGGTTCAGAATCAGCTTTTTCAAAACACTGTACTGGTATCAGCTAATTAATGTCAAAGGTAGAGGCCAGGAATTTACAGTCTATGGGCTGGTTCCAGCCCATGGAGCCTTTGGATCTGGTGCATGGAGCTGGGGATTTGGCAGTGGGGGTTTTACCTGCAGCCAGGCATAAGGGAGCCTCCCCATTCTGTACCACATCAGGATGGGAGGGAGAAGCATTAGTGGGGGCCGAGGCAACTAGCTCCTAGTGCTGGCCCAAGCGGGGCCATTCCATCTGCCACTGCAAAACATTGCCAATCACTAGTTTAAAGTCCTAGCTTTAAAGCATTTGTGTGTTTTATGTCAACCTACATTATTGGATCAGTCAGATTTTTGAGCCCTGTAGTCAGTTCATTTGTCCATGTACTTTGATTGTCTTAAAGACAGGAAGCTGATTCTGCTCTCATTTTGATTTTGCATGGTTAATGTACTTTGGGTGATGTCAGTAGAGTTATTCTAGAACAGTATTGCCATGAGAGACAGTTTAAAAATTATCAATGTTTTGGGAGAAAGATGAGTTTATTTCTCTGCTTTCCAGATGATGTATGAAAGTTCTGGGGCCATTTGCTAGGGCTATGTGAATTTTCACGGGCAGTTTCGTTTCGATGCTGTTTCAACTCATTTTGAGCTCAAAACAGCAAAATTGAAATGAAACAGAGAGCTTCCAAACAGCCTTGAAACGAAATGAGGCAAGTTGAAACGTTTCAAAATTTTTTAAATATTGAGAGTTTCAAAGATCAAGTAGAGCTTGCCTGCAGGGAAACAGAAACTAAAGTGAGGAGAGGGAGGGGGGAGAGGGAAGAAGCTGGGGTGAGGAGTGCTCTCATTATTGACTGTGTAGCTGGCCAGTGACTGTGATCCTTCCCTGAGGTCCCTTCCAATCCCAGTGCTCTGGGGGAGGGATGGAAAAACTGCATAAAAGGCAGTAGGGGAGGAGGAGGCCTCATTGGGGCACACTACCATGTTATGTAGATGCCCCAGTGCCAGTGAGGGTGCACCTTAACACACACTCAGTCCCACAGCACCCATGACACGAGTTTTGCTTGTCAGCAGCTAGAGGTGCAGGGCCTCAGAACCCAGACTTCCCCCTGCACCGATCTCCTTGACAGCTGGCAGGCTTTGTGGCCTCAGCAGGGCCTAGCATGCCTGCAGCTTTCATCTTGCTGTACCTTAATACACACACAGTGTCACCCATGTCATGAGTTTTGCTTGTCCGCAGCTTGAGGTGCAGTTTCCCCCAAACCCCTGCACCTGTCCCCTTGAAACATGGCAGGCTTTGTGGCCTTAGCAGGGACTAGCATGCCTGAAGTTTTGACCCTGCTGTGGCTAAACACAAACAGGTGACATGAGTTTTGCTTTCAAGACTTTGAGGTGCAGTTTCCCTGAACCCCATGCACCTATCTCCTTGAAACGTGTCAGGCTTCATGCCCTCAGAAGGGGCTACCCTTCCTGTATCATCCAAATCAGGTCAGAAATGACAAAGTTATAGGCTGTTTCAAGCTTCCTCAAGCTAAACTGTTTTGGCGAAACAAAAGGAACAGCGGTTTCGAATTGAAACGAAATTCGAAACAAATGCTGTTCCATTGAAATGTTGAAATGCAAGTCAAAACAGAATGGTGCTGCTTCGCACAGCCCTACCATTTCCTCTGATGTTATGAATCCGTGTTATTTCATAGAGCATGGTTATCCCCTTCCCAGCTACCCTTCACCATGAGGCCTGCCCTGCTATAAAAGCCGTTGCAATTTATGCTGCCACTGCTCCCCAGCTACCAAATTTCTGGACCCATGAGGAGCCCCACAGGCCAAATGACACATCTCTGCAGGCTACATTCAGTCTGTGGATTGGATTTGGCCTACAGGCCAGAGGTTGAGCACCACTGCTTTAGGGGATCGTATTAACTAATAGTAGCTGGTGCTGTCTGTGAGGGATGGATGTTGTGCATATTATCCAGGTAGCCAAGAACTTGTGGAGACAGGGCTGAATAACTTAACAGGTTGGTCATAGACAGCTACAGTAATAATGTAATAGCAAATGGACATGGGTGAAAGAGAACAAGAATTGTCCCAGAGAGTATGCCGGACTCTATCTCACACTTAATGAAGTCAGTAGCAGAGCTCTGACTGATTTTGGTGGAGCAGGGATGGGTCCTGAATATGCTGCAGCCTCCAGCAAAATGGCTGTTGGTTGAATCCAACTTTGGAATTGATTCATTTTGTTCTGTGAATCCATGGTGCCTGATTCTTTTCCCCCTTGCTGATGCCAGTTTTAGACCTATATAACTGCACCAGCTTCCTTGCATTCCCTGGGGCAGATTTGTAACACCACAGAAGTGAGTGGACTTGCACGGGAGAGGGATCAGGGAATCAGGTCTGCTGGAGTGCATTTACTTCTGGTTGGTATGGGAAGGGAATCAGGCTCCTTTTGACACAGTGGGGGGTTTGGTTCAGTGTCTCTGGTTGTGCTGTTATAACAATCTCGGAGAGAACAACCACAGAGGGAAAAGGTTTATTTCTCCTGCTGTAACATAAGCTTTTTAAAAGCAGAGAACTTTTTACCTCTTATTATCAATGCTCCATTTGATCAGCTTGGAGAGCGGCAGAGTGGTTTAAAAGTAGGCAGAGACTTTTAATCTAAATCCAGAAAGAAGAATATGCCTTCCTAATTTAGCTAAGAAAGCAATGGGTCCCTCTCCCCAGTGAACACAATGACAGGAGAAGCAGGGCTGAGAGAGAGCAGAGTCTAACTTTTGAATCTCAGATCCTTTTTCCGACTTGAAGGGGGACCCCCCTCCTAATGCTTTTTAAATGCAAATATGTTCCTGAGTGCCTTCAGCCAATCAGAGCAAGCTTCCTGTGGGATTACCTGGGAGAGGGAGGGAAGGAGGAAAAGACTGGTTGATTGCTTAGGAGTTGGAGAAAGTCTTGTGTTTGCCAGACCAGCACTCAGAGTGGAGCAGCAAATATGTGTGAGTTATGTTCCTTGTCAGGACCATTTGTCAACTGCATGGGAAGCCTCTCTCGGGTTGCTTGGCATTAAGTCCATTTTGGATGCCGGATGTGAGCAGATGGAATTGTACTGAGGCACTGCCACTTGACGTACTGGGATAGAGGCTGCAGAGAGCAGGCTATTGTTGCAGAGGATTCTGAATTATCCCCTTGGAGAAGCAATGTCTCGCTTACTCCCAGCAGCAGCCTCTGGGAGTTGGAAGTTAAACGATTTGAACTTGGATTTTTGACAGGATTCTGGAGAGTGAAATGCCCTTGTCTGGGGCTGGAACTGAGGATTTGCTTTAGGAATGGTAAGTGCTGGCCTGTAAGCAGGGCTTTTAGTGAGAGCCATAAAAATTCTGAATACTTGCAAGATTGTATTTTTCATTAACGACCACAAGAAACAGAAAATCCCTGCACTTGCAATGGAAGTGTTTGCGACAAGTAAAGCAGGGGTATTGAGTAATCTGTGTAGAAGGATTGTCTGTATAATTGCAGTGTCTTATTTTGAGAACTTTGGCCAAGGAGGAAGCTGTGATTTTATTATGGTTGATTATTAGCTAAGAAAACAATTTCACTATACTAAATGGGCGAGAGAGGTGTAGGATGATATTGTACTAGCAAATCTGATTCTTTTCTCAAATTCACCAGTATAAGAGCAACAGTAGTGGAGCAAACAGAATTATGCTGGTATAAAACTGGTGTGAGATGAGAATCAGGTCCATGGATATTACTGCTTCCACTTGGAGGAAGAAACTAACTAGCTATTTTAAAGCAAAACAAAGAAAATTGTTCATTTTGATTATATGGAATTACATAAAAATTATACCACATTCACCCCTTGAAGTCAGTCACTTGAGATGAATTTTGTCCAAGGGATGTATTATTTGAATATATATTTTTTAAAATCTTTCTTTTACATTCTGCTTTTTGAGATATTTTTTTTAATTGATGTAAAATGGGTCATGTTGGAATTCGTGTTATCCTTTTTATGGTTTAAGGAAGGAGGAAATCAAAGTATATTCTAGACATTTCTTTCCATAGCAGAGCAGACTAAAAACAAGTGTAGATTTCCAGCCAAGTTCAATACAGACCAAATGATAAAAAAATCGTGGCATTTATGTAGTTATGTTGTTTTTTGTTGGCCACTAGAGGGACAATACTCTTATCTTCCTATAAATGATTACACTTAAAACAGCATGTGAAAAACAAGTTAGGAGGTTTCCTCTTTATGTACCTTACGCATACTGTCTCATTAGTGCTTATTATATATGGGAACTTGTTACTAAAATGTAAAAAAAAAATCTGAAAAATGAACCCAGATTTCCTTTCATCTCTCCTTTGTCTCTTTTGTTGCAATGGACAATTAGTAAAGTATTTGTGTTAGTATACTTGATCAGACATTTACTTTCCTTGTAAGTTTGTTTTTTGTTTGAGATCCATAGGCTTACTTTAAAAAGAGCCAATGAATGAATAGATTTTACTGAACATCCAAGATCAGGGATTTTCTGAAGTCTCTGATTTTCTGCTATATCTTTCATGTTATATGGCTTGCTACATTATTTGTGCACTCAGAACTGCCCCTGACCTTAGTGGGAGCTGTTCAGTAGGCAAGGAATACAGGATTAGGTCCCTAATTAACATACTTTCTTGTGAGTCGCAATGTGAGAACTTGCTAATGAGATACAAAATCCCCAGATATGATGGGAAGCACTTCTTTATGTTTTGATTGCATTCCCACCTTCAGAAGTACATAAATAATCTTCTGTCTCATATATGTGACTTTTCAGTGGTGATGCTGGACTGATAGCATCTAATTCTGACATTTTTAGACATTTTGGTGAGCTTATAGGCAGCATGACTAGTCTGAGAGCAGAATTTATCAAGTCAAAAGGAAGTGAATAGTCCTGATTCTTGAATTTTGCATGTGAGCCCAGAAATGTCACTGGACATATTTCATCATCAGTCAATCAGTAATTTTTTTCTCCAAGTAAAACAACCCCATATTTCATTGTACAATCATCTGTATTTGCGGTGAACTTGTAGACAAGCATCCCCATATATTTGTAATATGAACACCCACCCCCTCAATGACTACAATAGAACCTACTGTAGTGGGTTTTACCTTAGTGTCTGCAGTGGCATTGCTTCTGTTACTCCCTTTCCTCTCAAACTTGCTTTGGAAACCAAACTGAGCTGCCCATCAACCAAAACCCCTGTAATTTACACGGATGCTCCTATATTTAATTGCAGCATTGGCAACTAGCCTCTCCTGCAACAGGTATTGAAGATGTGATCCAAGGACTGTGTTTGCTATTTCTGGCTCCATACCGCTTTTTTCCTGTTATAAATATAAAATTAAAATCCAAGGTTATATTATTTTATATTATTATATTAAATGATATTTATATAATACACACACACACACACACACACAGTATAATGTATTTATCTTAAATGATGGTATCTTTTTGCCTCCTTTCTCTGTATCTTAATTTTCCTTTCCTTAGGTAATTATCTGACTGCTTCACTGTGTTTTCTGTCTCCCCTGCATCTCCCCAGTTTTTTGCTCTTATATGCATTTCACTTCCTTTGCCCATGTCTTCCTCCCCTCTCTCACCTCCTGTGTCTGCTACCTGTCAATACCCACCCATTCATTCAAGGTCACCCACTCGCACCTATTTTAGCATGTGTCCACCTGTTCAGCACCCAAAAGCCCTTAAGCACCCAAAAGCACACATTCACATATTTACATATATCCCTACCCATTGTAGATGCTTGTGAGTGAGGACTCCCACTTGTGTGTTCTTCTAAGCGAGAATGTTTTTATAGGTCCAATTTTGGGTTCCTCGCTCCCAGTCCTCCAGGTAACAGAGCATGAGGTCCTGTAACTTTCCATCCTTCCCCCCTTAAAGGAATAGCAGTTTCCGGGCCAGAGCCAACATTTCTTACTACTTTTTCTTGTTCCAAATTCCTCCCTTCTCCAAGCAAGCAAGAGAGCAAAACACCTTTGTGCATTTGGTGCCTTTTGGGTAAAATCAAGGGAAAGACACAAACTTAGTTTGGTTAGAAATAAGGATTGCCATTATTAGTAGGGAAGAATTCAGCCTGCCCTTTTAGTGATTACAGATGTTTGTTTCCAAGAGCCCAGCACATGTTTAGTTGAGATGTAGCTTTTTCGAAGCAGCCAAGGGTCAAATATGCAGTAAACTATATATACCCATATTGTTGCTACCCTGCAGCACAAATGGTTGCCGGTAAAGTGGGTGAGTATCCTGTCTACAGCTTCAAAATATAAAATAGAACCCTGTGTCAGCAATAGGCTGCACCTAAACATCCTTGGAGTGAATAAATCTAAGAAAAAATCCTAAATTCTCAGCCAGAGAGCAAACAAAAGCCTCTTATTTTTGCCTGGTTGGATTGTATGTACTTTGCCTGAACTGGAAGCTCTATGGGCTATCAGTTGTCTCTTCTCTGTGGTTGTATAGCATCTAGCACAGTTGGGTCTTGAGTCATGACTGGGCTCTGAGGCTCTGCCACCATGCAAGCACATGATAAGCAATACTCAGGCATAATTTATATTTTAAACAGATTTTATGCTAACTTGAAGGTCATGAGCAACTGATAAGCATAAGGTTAGGCAAGTGCTCAAGTACCTGGCCTTGTTACAATTGTTAGGCCATACTTAAAGCATGGGCTTAAACACTTTGCTGAATCAAGACTTAAGATAGATATCACTAAAGTGTCTCATAGTGGACCCAATCCTGCAGGCTCTTTCTTATGGGAGCAGTGAACAGTAGAGCCAGAGTGCATCTACACATGCATTTGATCTGGGATCAATTTACTTGCAAGAAAACTACTCGCATGTAAATGCTCCTGGACAAGTGTCTACACATGCAGGGACATGGGAGAAGATTTGCTTCTCCTAGGATCAAACTGCTACCACTTTCTGCAGCCCTTCACTGGGCCCCTGCCACCACCAGGAGGTCCAGCTGCACCTGCCTGCAGCTGGCAGCTATCTTGAAAAGGTAGTCCTGCTCCCTGGCTAGCCACTTCCCTGTCCAGGAGCAGCAGGCATAGTGCAGGGGCAGCACGCGACAGCTGTCTTGTTGACGCCTCTGCCTCCCCGCACCATGGCTGCTCCATCCCCTGCCTCTAGCAGCAATACTCAGCACTCCAGGCTCCTGCTGGATACTACGCAGGCCCTGCTGGCCTGCCATGCTGACCGCTAGCTGGCCCATGGCCATCTGGCCCCTACCAGCTCCTGCACACACAGCAACCACCTGTTTGGCTGCACCACACCGTCAGAGGGTCGCCACCACCACACAGCGAACATCTGAACCCCATCCTGCTGATCAGTTCTGGCAGGAATACTGATGATGGGCTGCAAGATGCCACTGCTGGGGCACCCTTGCCCTCCTGTGCCTCCAGCCCCACCACCTCTGAACACTCTGGGCCAGCCAAGACTGATGGCTGCATGTTGTCCAGCAAACCTGGGATGATGTCTTGGGCCACCTTCCTGGGCCTTCTGGAGCAGCTCCACCCGCACCGGGAGTGACAGGACACCACCATTCAGCACCCCATCCCTAGTTTCATAGTTTCATAGATTTAGGGTCGGAAGGGACCTAGTAGATCTTCTAGCCCGACCCCCCACCAGGGCGGGAGAACAACAAAACCCCAAAACAAAAAACGGGACTCAAATGAGTCCAGCCAGGTAGGCATCCAGCCTCTTCTAGACCCCCAGGGTAGGGGCCAGCACCACTTCCCTTGGAAGTTCGTTCCAGCTCCTAGCCGCCCTAACTGTGAAGTAGTTTTTGCGGATGTCCAATCTATACCTCCTCTCCATCAACTTGTGCCCATTACTCCTTGTTATGCCAGCGGGCGCTAGGGGAAACAGCGTCTCCCCCAAACCCTTCTGGTCCCCCCTAGTGAGTCTATAGACGGTCACCAGGTCCCCCCTCAGCCTTCTCTTGTGGAGGCTGAATAGGTTCAGGTCCCGCAGTCTCTCACTGTAGGGTCTGCCCTGTTGTCCCCGGATCATGCGGGTGGCCCTCCTCTGGACCCTCTCCATATTGTCCACATCCCTCTTGAAATGGGGCGCACAGAACTGGACACAATACTCCAGCTGTGGCCTGACCAGCGTCGCATAGAGGGGGAGGATCACCTCCTTGGCTCTACTCAAGATGCACCTGTGGATGCACGATAAGGTCCGGTTAGCCCTGCCAACCATGACCTTGCATTGTCGGCCCATGTTTATCTTGGAGTCAATAATGACAGACACCTGGCTGGTCCTTACCTTGCTGAAGCTGGC